TACAGTAGTTATAACTATAAATGATGCATAAATAAATGCAACCAACCCCAAACCAAACGCGTTATTAACGGCGTTAACGCAAACCCATTTTAACAGCGTTAATTTTTTTTATCGCACGATTAACGGTCTTTTTGGCCTAGCAAACTTTGTAGTTTTTTTCACATGCTTCTGCAACAGGACGGCGTGCGCGGCTGCGCTATGAAACCCATTCATTTCAATGGCTTGCGCCGCGCGAGGACGGTTTGTTGCTTCGTCGACCAAAGCGCTAGCGGATCTAGCTAGACCGGAAACAGCAACAGGCACCGCACACACTTGTTTGGGCTTGCGAGCCAGCTAAATAGTTGGTTAACGTTACGTTTTGACTGGATGACGAGCGCGAGACGCCGAAATGGATGCCAATAACATTCTGAATGGAAAGTTTACTTTTAAAAAGTTGCCGAATGGTCCCATTGACGAGACCAAAGTGATCTGTGTGTTTTGTCGTTGTGAACTGAGCTATCATCATCGCAGCACGTCCAGTCTGAAACACCACTTGATGATGGCCAAGCACACACACACACACACACACACACACACACCCTCGTCAATATCAGGACCTCTTCAGTATTTCTTTCACCCTTTTATTGATGGAGACAATCCTGTACATTGTGTGAGAGATTATTTGCTCTAAGTGAGAATGTTTGTGTGAAATTGAACACAGTATATGCCAATGTTGTTTTCAATAAAAAACATTTGCACATAGCAAGCCGATCCACTTTTCCATGTTGATAAGAGCATTAAAATGAGAAAAAATAATGGGACAAAAAGAAATCAAGAGACATTTAGAATAGATAAAAATGTGCGATTAATTGCGATTAATCGCGAGTTAACTATGACATTAATGCGATTAATCGCGATTAAATATTTTAATCGTTTGACAGCACTAATATATATATATATATCTTTGACACCAGATAACTGTTGCATTGCTGAGCATTACAATAAAGTAAATGAAGTTCCAAGTGCCCAACTAAAGAGAACACTAATCACCATAATGGTGAGTAACATATTTTAGGAACATCAACATTAATTGATGTAGTCAACTTATGTGATGTTCTCTCACATTTTTCAGTTGTTTTGACAATTCACCGTTCAAGATGACTTTGGGAAATGAGCGAATGCAAACAGAGAAAGATAAGAAGTGGAGGAACTGAGTGTTTCAAAAACCGCACTCAAACCAATCAATTAATCTTTACTTGGGTTTCCGTGTGTGTGTTCCTGTGTGTGTTCGCGTGTGTGTTCCTGTGTGTGTTCCTGTGTGTGTTCCTGTGTGTGTTCCTGTGTGTGTTCGCGTGTGTGTTCCTGTGTGTGTTCGCGTGTGTGTTCGCGTGTGTGTTCCTGTGTGTGTTCCTGTGTGTGTTCCTGTGTGTGTTCCTGTGTGTGTTCCTGTGTGTGTTCCTGTGTGTGTTCGCGTGTGTGTTCCTGTGTGTGTTCCTGTGTGTGTTCCTGTGTGAGTTCCTGTGTGTGTTCCTGTGTGTGTTCGCGTGTGTGTTCCTGTGTGTGTTCCTGTGTGTGTTCCTGTGTGTGTTCCTGTGTGTGTTCCCGTGTGTGTTCCTGTGTGTGTTCCTGTGTGTGTTCCTGTGTGTGTTCCTGTGTGTGTTCCTGTGTGTGTTCCTGTGTGTGTTCCTGTGTGTGTTCCTGTGTGTGTTCCTGTGTGTGTTCCTGTGTGTGTTCCTGTGTGTGTTCCTGTGTGTGTTCCTGTGTGTGTTCCTGTGTGTGTTCGCGTGTGTGTTCCTGTGTGTGTTCCTGTGTGTGTTCCTGTGTGAGTTCCTGTGTGTGTTCCTGTGTGTGTTCGCGTGTGTGTTCCTGTGTGTGTTCCTGTGTGTGTTCCTGTGTGTGTTCCTGTGTGTGTTCCCGTGTGTGTTCCCGTGTGTGTTCCTGTGTGTGTTCGCGTGTGTGTTCCTGTGTGTGTGTTCCTGTGTGTGTTCCCGTGTGTGTTCCTGTGTGTGTTCCTGTGTGTGTTCGCGTGTGTGTTCCTGTGTGTGTGTTCCTGTGTGTGTTCCTGTGTGTGTTCCTGTGTGTGTTCGCGTGTGTGTTCCTGTGTGTGTTCCTGTGTGTGTTCGCGTGTGTGTTCCTGTGTGTGTTCCTGTGTGTGTTCCTGTGTGTGTTCCTGTGTGTGTTCCTGTGTGTGTTCGCGTGTGTGTTCCTGTGTGTGTTCGCGTGTGTGTTCCTGTGTGTGTGTTCCTGTGTGTGTTCCTGTGTGTGTTCCTGTGTGTGTTCCTGTGTGTGTTCCTGTGTGTGTGTTCCTGTGTGTGTTCCTGTGTGTGTTCCCGTGTGTGTTCCTGTGTGTGTTCCTGTGTGTGTGTTCCTGTGTGTGTTCCTGTGTGTGTTCCCGTGTGTGTTCCCGTGTGTGTTCCTGTGTGTGTTCCCGTGTGTGTGTTCCTGTGTGTGTTCCCGTGTGTGTTCCCGTGTGTGTTCCCGTGTGTGTGTTCCCGTGTGTGTTCCCGTGTGTGTGTTCCCGTGTGTGTGTTCCTGTGTGTGTTCCCGTGTGTGCTCCTGTGTGTTCGCGTGTGTGTTCCTGTGTGTGTTCGCGTGTGTGTTCCCGTTTGTGTTCCCGTGTGTGTTCCTGTGTGTGTTCCTGTGTGTGTGTTCCCGTGTGTGTTCCCGTGTGTGTTCCCGTGTGTGTTCCCGTGTGTGTTCCTGTGTGTGTTCCCGTGTGTGTGTTCCTATGTGTGTTCCTGTGTGTGTTCCCGTGTGTGTTCCTGTGTGTGTTCCTGTATGTGTTCCCGTGTGTGTTCCCGTGTGTGTTCCCGTGTGTGTTCCTGTGTGTGTTCCTGTGTGTGTTCCTGTGTGTGTGTTCCCGTGTGTGTTCCCGTGTGTGTTCCTGTGTGTGTTCCCGTGTGTGTGTTCCTATGTGTGTTCCCGTGTGTGTTCCTGTGTGTGTTCCCGTGTGTGTGTTCCCGTGTGTGTTCCTGTGTGTGTTCCTGTGTGTGTGTTCCCGTGTGTGTTCCCGTGTGTGTGTTCCTATGTGTGTTCCCGTGTGTGTTCCTGTGTGTGTTCCCGTGTGTGTGTTCCCGTGTGTGTTCCTGTGTGTGTTCCTGTGTGTGTGTTCCCGTGTGTGTTCCCGTGTGTGCTCCTGTGTGTGTGTTCCCGTGTGTGTTCCCGTGTGTGTTCCCGTGTGTGTTCCTGTGTGTGTTCCCGTGTGTGTGTTCCTATGTGTGTTCCTGTGTGTGTTCCCGTGTGTGTTCCTGTGTGTGTTCCTGTATGTGTTCCCGTGTGTGTTCCCGTGTGTGTTCCTGTGTGTGTTCCTGTGTGTGTTCCTGTGTGTGTTCCTGTGTGTGTGTTCCCTTGTGTGTTCCCGTGTGTGTTCCTGTGTGTGTTCCCGTGTGTGTGTTCCTATGTGTGTTCCTGTGTGTGTGTTCCTATGTGTGTTCCTGTGTGTGTTCCCGTGTGTGTTCCTATGTGTGTTCCTATGTGTGTTCCCGTGTGTGTTCCTGTGTGTGTTCCCGTGTGTGTGTTCCTATGTGTGTTCCTGTATGTGTTCCCGTGTGTGTTCCCGTGTGTGTTCCCGTGTGTGTTCCTGTGTGTGTTCCTGTGTGTGTTCCTGTGTGTGTTCGCGTGTGTGTTCCCGTGTGTGTTCCCGTGTGTGTTCCTGTGTGTGTTCCTGTGTGTGTTCCTGTGTGTGTTCGCGTGTGTGTTCCTGTGTGTGTTCCTGTGTGTGTTCGCGTGTGTGTTCCTGTGTGTGTTCCCGTGTGTGTTCCTGTGTGTGTTCCTGTGTGTGTTCGCGTGTGTGTTCCTGTGTGTGTTCCTGTGTGTGTTCCTGTGTGTGTTCCCGTGTGTGTTCCTGTGTGTGTTCCCGTGTGTGTTCCCGTGTGTGTTCCTGTGTGTGTTCCTGTGTGTGTTCCTGTGTGTGTTCGCGTGTGTGTTCCTGTGTGTGTTCCTGTGTGTGTTCCTGTGTGTGTTCGCGTGTGTGTTCCTGTGTGTGTTCCCGTGTGTGTTCCTGTGTGTGTTCCTGTGTGTGTTCCCGTGTGTGTTCCCGTGTGTGTTCCCGTGTGTGTTCCTGTGTGTGTTCCCGTGTGTGTTCCCGTGTGTGTTCCTGTGTGTGTGTTCCTGTGTGTGTTCCCGTGTGTGCTCCTGTGTGTGTGTTCCCGTGTGTGTTCCCGTGTGTGTTCCCGTGTGTGCTCCTGTGTGTGTGTGTGTTCCCGTGTGTGCTCCTGTGTGTGTGTTCCCGTGTGTGTTCCCGTGTGTGTTCCCGTGTGTGTTCCCGTGTGTGTTCCTGTGTGTGTTCCCGTGTGTGTTCCCGTGTGTGTTCCTGTGTGTGTGTTCCTGTATGTGTTCCCGTGTGTGCTCCTGTGTGTGTGTTCCCGTGTGTGTTCCCGTGTGTGTTCCCGTGTGTGCTCCTGTGTGTGTGTGTGTTCCCGTGTGTGCTCCTGTGTGTGTGTTCCCGTGTGTGTTCCCGTGTGTGTTCCCGTGTGTGCTCCTGTGTGTGTGTGTGTTCCCGTGTGTGCTCCTGTGTGTGTTCCCGTGTGTGTTCCCGTGTGTGCTCCTGTGTGTGTTCCCGTGTGTGCTCCTGTGTGTGTTCCCGTGTGTGCTCCTGTGTGTGTGCGTGTTCCCGTGTGTGCTCCTGTGTGTGTGTTCCCGTGTGTGTTCCCGTGTGTGTTCCCGTGTGTGCTCCTGTGTGTGTGTGTGTTCCCGTGTGTGCTCCTGTGTGTGTTCCCGTGTGTGTTCCCGTGTGTGCTCCTGTGTGTGTTCCCGTGTGTGCTCCTGTGTGTGTTCCCGTGTGTGTTCCCGTGTGTGCTCCTGTGTGTGTTCCCGTGTGTGTTCCCGTGTGTGCTCCTGTGTGTGTGTGTGTGTGTTCCCGTGTGTGCTCCTGTGTGTGTGTTCCCGTGTGTGTTCCCGTGTGTGTTCCCGTGTGTGCTCCTGTGTGTGTGTGTGTGTGTTCCCGTGTGTGCTCCTGTGTGTGTGTTCCCGTGTGTGTTCCCGTGTGTGTTCCCGTGTGTGTTCCCGTGTGTGTTCGTCAGATGCTGTACCCGCTTCTGCCGGGCTTTCTGGACAGCAATGCGTTCTCCGAGAGCGGGACGCTGCACGTTCCCGAGGACGTCCGGCGAGTCCTGCACATCTGCACACACACACTGCGTTTACTCAGAGTCTTCCAGGTGCATCCACAGATCCTACAGCAACTCTTCGCCTACATCTTCTTCTTCATCAACGCTCTGCTGTTCAACCTGCTGATGGAGAGAGGTGAGACACTCGTTCACATCGTTCACTCATCCCTATATAGTGTACGGCAGGGCTATTCAGTTGGCGCCCCTTTTCCTGGCCATGCGGCTACATTTGGTTAGATTTGCTCGTGGCGTCTGCAACTGTGTGTGTGTGTGTGTGTGTGTGTGTGTGTGTGTGTGTGTGTGTGTGTGTGTGTGTGTGTGTACCATGAGCGCTCCGACTGACCTGAGAAACGTTTTCAGTCCGAATATTTCAGCAGTTATTGGTCATATTTTAATGATGTAAGCACATGGTCTAAAGTGCTTTTGGAAAAGTTCAGGTTGGGCGCGTCCGAATCCACTTCTGCTAGTTTAACGACGGGACAAATGGTCGGCGCTCCCGGCGCTGGTCTAAAAGGGTTTCCCTATTCTCTTAAAGGTACAATATGACCAAAATAGACCAAGTGAAGCAGCGCTGCGTTACCTCACAAGTTTAATTCGTCTAATAAACTGACCTGTGTGAGTAATCCAGCACTTGCGGGGTTCGGTAGAATTAAATGTCCTTATTCCTTTATATCCGCGGGACTCGCGTGTGATATCTGTCTCTTTAGCAATCGCGACCTGCTTCATACCACTGTAATGTTAATGTTTGCACTCATCCATAAACATTATTAGATCCATCAGCTTGACAGCAAGTCCCATCATTCAGCTCATCACTGCGTCATCAACCTACGCCTGTGTTATTGTCGGAAACTGCGCCCTCTTCTTGTGGCGAAAAAACCCTACATATTGTGCCTTTAATGAGGAATGTGTGTGTTTGTCTCTATTCTCTAAATGAGGAATGGGTGTGTGTGTTGAGTGTAACGTGTAACGAATCTCATCTCACATTCCCTTTAAAAGCCAGTTGCGCTCGCGCCGTGGCGGATTCGCTATTTACATGACGGTTGATGATTATGATGATAATTGATGATTATGGCTTACAGATATGAAAACCTTTTCACAATATTCTAATTTTGAATTTGGGGTTTTCATAAGAGCCATAATCATCAAAATTATAACAAATAAAGGCTTGAAATATCTCACTTTAAGTTTAATTACTAATGAACTTTTGCACGATATTAAAATTTTTCGAGTTTCACCTGTATGTTATTTTATTCATTTATATTCCATTAGATGTATTAGATGGGTAGAGGCAGGGCCGGATTAACCATTAGGGCAACTGGTCACTTGCCCAGGGGCACATGACATCTAAGGGGCCCTGCGCACCGTCAAATATTATGTTAGATAACGTTATAAACGCAGTCCTCACTTTCCTAATTATATGCATATTTTTGCAACCCATTCGATCAAAATATAATGTTAAATCGCGTCAAAAACAGCGTCTGTATTCCTGCGCAGTGAGCGAGAGCGAGCTATCATGTCGACTCGCGTCGCGTGACTTGACACTCTGAAATTTGAAGTGATGGAGAAGCAGTTGCCTACGGTTGCCTAACATAAAGGTCTCGACTGTTTAGCGTTATATTTTGCCAACGAAGTCAAATTGAAACTGTGATATTGCTTCGTGCCGTTATAAAACAGCAAAAGACTTTAAGTAGCCTAGGCATTCTGTTTGTGCTGCATGATTTAAATAGAAGTGCGCACTTTGCTCACGCGATCAGCATGGTGATCTGGTGTTTTCTCCAAAATGAAAGCTCAAGGGTTTATTTCTGGCAATTAAAGAAATTAGGACAAAAGTATTGTACTTTTCCTATACTGTGTAATGTGATGCAAAATACTTTTAGGCTACATTTATAGGAGGTATATGATTTTACGTCATAGGAATAATTATATAAATCATTATTATAATAATTGTTTGGCATCCTAAAACACCAGTGATAATGTAATGCAGACTGAGACTCTATATCATAACTAAAAAGATGTTTGAGCCCTCTTTAATGTCCAGGTACAAGTCAATGCTTTTTCTTTGTTCAATGTGCACAGTTCATGGGTTAAAGCCGGTTGAAGCTCTTAATTGTGAGCTCTCAAAGTGCACCAGATTGATGCATTTAACCTTAAAATGTACAAAATTTTCTTGCGGGGGAGCATGCCCCCGAACCCCCCTAGAGGGATAGAGTTCCACCCAACATAGTTTTTATAAAATCCTATGGGAAACACAGATCATTTATGAAGTAATATGTACAACAAAGTTCCTTTTAAGTCAGTAATACAGTTAATGCCAAATTAAAATGTCCTTGGACAAACTACATTTGGCCTGCCTAAGGGGGGCCTACAAGACATTGTGCCCAGGGTCCTCTGAATTCTTAATCCGGCCCTGGGTAGAGGAATATATAATTATTTGTGTGTACAGTTTTAACCTGTTTAGGCATTTTTTTTATACAGTGTTAGTGAGTGAGTAGCCGGTTACAAAGTCTCATGTCAGAATATTCTCATTTAAGCCTTTAATAATTATCAATAAAATAATTCTCATTTCTTACCAATAGCTATGTTCTTGTATAATTCATATATTTGTACAAAGCTGTAAATAATGGTCTTATAAATCTGTTACACGATTTCCAAGTAAATACAATACTTTTTTAAGGTTTACTTTAGCTTATTTATTGATACTGTTATGTTTCAATAAGTAATAAATAAATTTCAATAAATAAGCTAAGCCCACCGGCCCTTCTCAACTTTTCGGTTTAATAATCCGGCCCTGGAATGAAGCTACAGTAACTGAATAGCCCTGGGCATTTGAGTGTACTATATCTGCAAGTCACCTTCATTTATACAGCGTATTTATGTCAGCGGCCGCTATAAGTTAATAACTAATGATCTTTGCAACGGAAGTGAATCAATCAAAACTAACTTTATCTGGACAGTAACTTTATTCTAGAGCTGCTGTAAAGCCTAAACACTCTGTTACTGTAATCTCCTGTTATCACTGTAAAGCTGCTGTGAAACTCTATAGTGTTAAAGCGCTGTGTGTGTGACTCCCGCTCGCGTGTGAAGGCTCAGGCGGGACGTTTTTCCACTGGTCCCGTGGGGTCCAGATCAGGGCTAACCTGGACCTGCTGATGGACTGGGCTCACAGTGCCGGACTCGGGGATCTGGCTCACCGCTTTCTTCTCAAGATCTCCTCAGCTGTCAATCTACTGGCCACGCCGAAGGAGAACCTCTTACAGGTGCTAGTTCTGTTCACAGCGATCATATTCATGCAGAAAATATTATTTAATAACCTTCATCCTTCCCTAGCGGGTCAAAATTACCCAAAACCATAAAAATATATATTTTTGTTTTTGTCCAGAAAGCTTGTTTTATTTTATTTTGATCATATATTTGGGAGATTTTTTTTTTTTTTTTTTTTTACCTTTACATTACTAGATTTGATCAATAAATAATAAACAAATAGTAATTTAAGCACTTCCTCACATTTTTTCAACTTTAATTCAAAATAACTCACAATTTCATGCCTACACCTTTTAATTCAGCTCTAAATATCTTACATTGTGTGTCTTTGCCGACCTCTTGTGGGAAAAAACTCATATAATGATGATATTTCATGACTCTAGATGGGCTTATAGCTCTATATGAGCAGAGGAGCTGTTCCGCTGGGTCCTAAAGTCAGTTCGCTTCAGTATGCCTTCAGATACACATGTAGACATTATAAAATATTTTTTTGGTAAAGTTTTAGCAGTGTTAGTTTGAATTTTAAGCACTTTTAGGTTTTTCTATGTGTACTGAAGCATTCCTCGCATTCCATTCATTCCTATGGGAGTCAAATTGACCCGCGAGGATTTGTTACTTTTTAAGTTTTTTTTTAAAGGTTACCCTAAATCCTTAAATATTGCACTATGTGAGCATGCCTGAGGAAGGAAGCTTGTTTGCATTCCCGTCTTATTACAGATGCATTCCTCTTTCATCACAGTCTCGCATTAGTATGTTCCTCAGAAATGATTAACAGGAAGCATTACTCATTAAAGATAAAGCTTTGTGAGCACAAACGATTCTTTCATGGCATTAGATAAAGATACTGGATAAGACACGTCACCGATGATCTCGTCCTGCTAGCGAAATACAGACTATAGTGAGCGGCGTTAATGTGAGAGACGCTTTCTGGAAAATAATAAATTAATACATTATATTGAAATAAATTGATTAAATAGCTAGAAATGTATTTAATTAAAAATAAATAAATGATAAATTAATACATTAAACAAATAAATAAAATAGTATTTAAATAAATGAAATGGATTTTATTAAACTAAAAACATAAATTAAATTAAATTACATTGAAACGAATAAAATATAATTAAAATAAATAAATAATAAATTAATACATTATATTAAAATCAATAAATACAACTTTATTTAGATAAAAATAAGTACTGTACATAAAAAATATTAAAATAAATAAATAATAAATTAATACATTAAATAAAAAATAAAAATAAAAATTATTTAAATAAAATAAATTTGATTAAACTCAAAACATAAATTAAATAAAAATAAGATTAAACTTAAATAAATAAATGTTAATAAAATAAACTAAAATAATACATTAAAACAATGATAAATAAATAAATAAAAATGTATTTAAATAAAATAAAATAAAAAATGATTAAAATAAATAATAAATTAATACATTATATTTAAATTGATTGAAGTAAATAAATAAATTAAACTGAAATAAAATAAGATGAAACTAAGTAACTAAAATTAAATAAATTGATTAAAATAAAAAGAGAAATGTGAAAAACATTTTCTCTCGCTTATTTGAACGTTGTATCAGTCCATTGTATCATTCTTCACACATGGAAACGTTACTTTTGAATGTTTTCTGA